GTTGCTGAACCAATGCAACTCCCTTTTGATTTTTTTTCCCTGACATATGTATATAACATTCTTAAAATGATAAAATTTTATAACTGAAGCACAGATCTCTTATTGCCAGAGCCTAGAGAGGGGATGGAGGAAAGAAGTAGGTGTGGCTATAAAAATGCAATTCCTGTGGTGATGGAAAGATTCTGTAATTTCTGTGTACCAGTGTCAACATCTTGGTTCCTATATTGTATTTAGTTTTTTTTTTAATTATGCTTAGTACTTGGGTTCATTTTGACAAAATTATACATGCAAGGAATTTGATTTCAATCCCCATTCCCACCTTTTTTTCTCCTCCTCCCTTCTCCTATTCTTCCTCTACTGATCTTCCTTTCACTCCTTTGTTATTTTTTTATTGGTTCTTTCTTCTCATAAGGATGAAATTGCCTTTTGTACATTTAGGTGTGTAAACAACATCATTTCACTATATTCATTCCATATTTCTTTTCTAAAAAATATTTATTCTTTAGTTATAGGTAGACAAAATATCTTTACTTCACTTTATGTGGTGCTGAGGATCAAACCCAGCACCTTACACATGCTAGGCTAGAGCACTCCACCTATGCACCACAACCCCAGCCCTTCATTCCATATTTCTTCCCCTTTCCCTTCCTTCCTTCCTCCTTCTTATTCTCCTTCTTCTAGCCATTAATCTTCCCTACATGCTTATGATATTAATCCCCACCCCCATTGCTTTCTTTCCCTTATTTTACTCTAGCTTCCATATATGAGAGAAAACATTGATTTTTGATTTTCTGTGTCTGGCTTATTTCACTTAGCATGAGGTTTTCCACATTCATCCATTTACTGGCAAATGCCATTATTTCATTATTTTTTATGGTGAGTAAAACTCCAGTGTATGTATATACCACATTTTCTCGATCCACACATCTATTGACAGACATCTGAGTTGGTTGCATAATTTGGCTATTGTAAATTCTGATGCTATAAACAGTGAGGTGGATGTATTGCTATAGTATATTGATTTTAGTTCTTTTGGATAAATACTGAGGAGTGGGTTAGTTGTGTCTTATGGTGGTTCTATCCATAGTATTTTGAGGAATCTCCACATTGCTTTTCCAGAGTGGTTGTAATAATTAGCAGTCCTCTCAACAATGGATCAGTGTACGTTTTCTCTCATATCCTCTTCAGCATTCATTATTGGTTGTGTTCTTGATAATTGCCATTCTGACTGAAATAAAATGAAATCTTATTATATTTCTGATTTGCATTTCCCTGATTGCTAGAGATGTTGAACATTTTTTTCATGTATTTATTTGTTGGCCATTTGTGTTTTCTTCTTTTGAGAAATGTCTCTTTCCTTCTTTTACACATTTATTGGTTGGATTATTTGTTTTTTGGAATTTAGTTTTTGCATTCTTTATATATAATGGGTATTAATCTCATCAGAGGAGTAGCTAGCAAAAATTTTTTCCCATTTTGCAAGCTCTCTCTTCAAGAATCATTTCTTTTGCTGTGTAGAAGCTTTTTAATTTGATGGCATCCCACCTATTGATTCTTGATTTTATTTCTTGAGCTTTAAGAGTCTTGTTGAGGAAGTTGATGCCTGAATGTATATGATGGAATGTTGAGCCTATGTTTTGTTCCAGCAGTTGCAAGATTTCTGGTGTAATTCCTAATCCCTTTGCTCCATTTTGATTTGACTTTAATGCAGGGTGAGAGAGAGGCATCTAATTTCATTCTCCTACATATGTATATCCAGTTTTCCCTGCACCATTTGCTAAAAAGGTTGTATTTTCCTCAGCATATATATATGGGCACGTTTTTCAAGTGTCAAAAGATTGTAAATATGTGAGTTGGTCTCTGTCATCTATTCTGTTTCATTGGTCTTCATGTCTATTTTGATGTCAACACAATGCTGTTTTTGCTCACTATAGCTGGTTAGTATAATTTGAGATGGGGTATTGTGATGCCTACTATATAATTTTTCTTGCTCAGAATTGCTTTGGTTATTCTGGGTATCTTACTCTTCCAAATGAATTAAAGGACTTTTTTTTCTAGATATATGGAATGTCATTGGTATTTTCATGGGTATTGCATTGAGTCTGTATATTACTTTTGTAGTTAGGCCATTTTGACAACATTAATTCTGCCTGTCCAAGAACATGCAAGGTCTTCTGAGATCTTCCATTTTACTCAAGAAAAAAACCCTGAGGCCATCCTTGACATCAAATTCTACATCTAATTAATTGGCAAGTCCTGTGGCTGTACTTCTAAACATGTCCAGAATCAGACCACTTCACACTGTCTACATTGCTCCCACCCTGGTCCAAACCAGCATCAACTCTCACATATTGAAAGAAAGCCCTTTCTTTTCTTTATCCTTGCCCCAGGCATTTAGACCATGCTAACAAGGAAGTCTGATCACACCACTTCTTGGTTTAAAGCACTCCAGTGGCTTCCCAGATCACTCAGATCAAAAGTAAAGCTGTTCCTTTGATCTCCAAGTCCCTGAACAATTTAGACTCCTCATTAACCTTTCTGATTTTATCAGCCTTCTATCTTAAAGCCTCATCTTTAAGCCAGTTTCTTTGGCTTTTTCAAGTTTACCAGAGTGTTCCTGCCACAGGGCTTGAAGTTACCTGCCTGAAAAAGCTTTCCCACCCACCCGCCTATGTACTAAGATGATTCACTACCTTACTTTTTACATTTACTCATTTACTCAGCTGTAACCTCCCTCCCCTGTACTGGGTATTGAATCCAGGGCATTGAGAATGCTAGGCAAGTGCTCTACTACTGAGCTATAATCCCACACCTTTTATTTTATTTTGAGACAGAGTCTTGTCTAGGCTGGTCTTAAATTTTCCTGCCTCACCCCCACCCCCAGTGCTGTGATTATAGGTATATGCTACCATGCCCAGTGACATTTCACCCTCTTGTTAAGACTTTCCTAGCCCCCTTACATAAAATAAAGCTTAAATCACAAGACTACAATAGGATCTATAGTCAATACCATTTTTGAAAATGAGGAAAATATGTCCATACAAGCAGTCATGCATGTTTTGTAGGACCACCTACGAATCACGGGATATTGATTAATTTTAAAGATTTAATTAACTTTTAGAGAACTTTTTTCTCTCTCTCAGGGCCTTGTGTATGCTGTTTGCTTTTATAGTGAGACCAAATTGCTCAGGCTAGCCTCAAACTCATAATCCTCCTGCCTAAGCCCTTGAATAACTGGGATTACAAGTGTGCAGTATTATTCCTGGCTCAGGACATTTTTCAAAAATGAAATTAATTGTAATTCTAGTGTTCACTGTCAATCTGTTTGCTGATGTAAATAATTGTATTACCCTTCACATAAGGTAAGTCTGACTCCCAAAATATGCACATATAAGAATAATGTGAATTGTTTAATATTATAAAATAAAGATAATAAACTGAGGAAAGAGACAAAGACTAGGAAACTGGAAACTCAAAGGATGGTGAAGACTAGGTTTGGAAGAGACAATGAAAAGAAAGAGATAGTTATTACTGTGGCTAGGAATAACATCGTAGGATTTATATCTTGGTGATGGGATCGTTTTACTATTGAGGGTAGTATGTAATTCTATAATTTAGAAGTATGAAAAAGATGGCCTAGTATTTCATTGATAAGGATGAAGATGTCACCAACTACAATAATGTCAGGAAATGAAAAGAGAAAAGGCAATCAGCCAAGTATCCCATTGGGGTCATTTACTGTGAACTTCAATTATGTGGGCAAAAAACAAATAATACCAGCAAAAGTGAAAATACAGGTTATCTTATGGATAACCACAAGTAGGAAAAAAAATTGTAGGGAAATAACCTGAAACAACATAATTATTATAAATTAAGAAAATTACAGAAAAAGTCAAGTTCCAATAGTAGAGTGGAGTTTAGAAGGATGTTTGCTTTTGACATATTTCAGGGGCATTGCCAAGAATAAACAGGAGGTCTAAAATTTAAGGAGAAAAGAGGGAGATGAAAAGTGCACTTATGAAATTAGGAAAGAAGGAATTTGATTTTTTTTTTTTTTTTGGTGGGGTATGGAGTTTGAACCGAAGGGCACTTAACTACCCAGCCACATCTCCAGCCCTTTAAAAAATATTTTATTTAGAGACTGGGTCTCTCTGAGTTGCTTAGGGCCTCACTAAGTTGCTGAGAGGCTGACTTTGAAGTCACCATCCTTCTTCCTCGGCCTATGGAGCCACTGGGATTACAGGCATTTGCCACCATGCCCAGGAGAAGCAGCAATTTAACAGAGAAATCATCAATCACAAAGCTTCCTGAATATCTGTCAAACTTTCAGTTGTTTAGTGGTAGAGGCAGAGGAATGGAGAATCCATAATCAGGATATGGTCAAGAATTGACTTAGGAAAAAATGGCCTAATGCAAAATAAAGATACCACCTTTAGGGAAAGTTTGTCTACTGGAAGATAGAGATGGAAGGCTATTTTTAATTCTCAATTCTCTCTTCAGTTCCAGGTAAATTTACTATAAAGAATTCATACACACACACACACACACACACACACACACACACACACATACAAATAATTTTTAAAGAAAAGAGTTAAGTAACTTCTTTTGGAACCTGTATCTGGATTATGTATAAATTAAGCTGGGAGAATTTTAAATGCTGGAACTCCCACCCAAGTGGAGAGCCTGCAATGGTTGTCCTCCCCACAAAACAAAAGAAAGAGGGCTGGGGATGTGGCTCAAGCGGTAGTGCGCTCGCCTGGCATGCGTGCTGCCCAGGTTCGATCCTCAGCACCACATACAAAGATGTTGTGTCCGCCAATAACTAAAAAATAAATATTAAAATCTC